TTTTTTTTAACATACGACCATTGTATGGTCGTTGGCCTCAGCACAGTTGTTTATTATTATACTGCTGTTGATAAAATGAACAGTTTTATCTCTTGAACAAATAGATATAAAAATACTGTTGCCAGGTGGCCAACGCGTTAGTATGTAATAAAATAAACAACTTGTTGGTGAATAATACTTACTAAAAGATTGCAAAGTACCAAGTGTAGTAAGTAAAACGCTTAGGTTAATGTTGCCACCTAAAAGTAAAGCCCATACACTTGCTGCTCCTCCTCCAGGACTGATTCCAGTAAAATACAATCCCAATTGCATGGTAACTGAATTAGGAAATATGAGTTTTGCATAATAATAGCTTATCTGCAACAAAAACAATGATTAAAAAACACAATAAAATATTAATAGCTAAATGACTTACAATTGGTAATATTACAAATTGAGCAAGGAATGTTATTATTGGAGCTATTGGTTTTTTAATGCATTCTTTCAGTTGTTTTAGTTCTAGAGCACATCCCAAATTTATAAATATAATACTCATCAGTATAGCAACAGATACTATGAAAACATTGTCAATTAGTCTTTGCTTTCTGACTACAACTACGTTAATATGGTTTTCACTTGAATTCACAATCGATTCTATAGCAGAATTTTCTAAAAACATAATAAATATTTTATTAATTATTATATTAAAGATTTTTTGATATCGTTATTATTCAGTAACTTACTGAATTTTACCATTTGGAAATAAACTTTTGTATATCCTATGAATTTCCCAGTTATATTGAACGTACCACTCCATGTATTTGTTAGGTTATTGGGTGTTGGTAAATCAAAAAACCTTGGTGATATTGATACAACTTCCAAATTTGTACTAATTAACTCAATTTTTCTAAATTCATTTCCTGAATTATTATTTTGAAAAGCGGTAGAGTTGAACTCTACTTGTATACTTTCGCCCATTTGAAGTTGGTCTACAATAGAATTGTTCAGTTGGACATCCCAGCTGTCAACAGTAACAATTGTAGCACAAGTTACTAAGACTAAAATATTCAATAAGACTGTTAAATTCATAATAGAATATTGTATAAAAACTGTCGCCAAAATAACTATGTATTGTATAACAATGATACACGTGGAAACAAGTTCAAAATTACATAATGAAAACCAGTCATAACTTCAAACACAAGTATTAAGTTATTTTACATATTAATAAATGAAACTATAACGATTTGATGCATAAAATTAAATACTATTCATTAAATAACATCTGAAAAATTTAAATTATAATGTAATTTGTGATAACAGAACCACATCTTTTATCAGAATACATTTATGGTAAAAGAAAGTGGGGGGTAATACAGAAATAATTATTATTATCATTGATTGAGTGTAATAGACATTATTACATAATCAATGTTATTATTAACATTCTTCGGGTTCGTGCATCCGCCAGGATTGTAAATATTATTGCCTATAGGCTCTATTGACCAGCTCTTGCGCCTTGAATATAGGCAAAATATAATACTAAGATTGGCGTACAGCCAACATGGACTCGTCCCAAGTTAACATTTTTTCGCCTCCACAACGAAAAATGGATACATCTCGGTAAAAAAAAGTGTCAGGTAAAAGAAAAATATTTCACGATTTTTTTTTTTGGCTAGACGCATTGGTATTCTTCATTCCATTTATTATTATTATTGCATAACTGTAATTTTAAAGGCGCATAGTTCTAACTACCGGCGTTCAAAAGCTCATAGAAAGACTGAAGATTGATTATAACTATAATAATTAAGTCTTGACTATTAAAACTATATTATATTTGTTTTACATTTATAGTGGTTTAATTGTAATAAAATCTATGGAAAATTGAAAAAAAAAAACAAGATTTTAATAGAAGTTTATATATTTTTAATACTTCAGTTCTCATTGATCTTATATTCATTTTTTATAAACTTATAATTTATAAATACATTTTTGATAGTACATATTTACCTAGTGCTTACGCTCAATTTTTTTTTTTTTGTTGCACTTTCTTACAAAAATTAAAAATAACGAAAATTTGATATAATAACAAAAATAACGGCACACATTTTTTATAAAGTTTAGATAGAAATAACCGATAGACAAATTGAGTACATGTATACTATCAAAAATATTGTTTTTTTTTATTTATAAATTTATACAAATTTAATATAAGGTCAAAAAGATGAGAAATAATTTTTAAAAAATCGATACTTATATTAAAATCTGTTTAAAGACTCCGTGGATTTAATGTTTCACACTGTTTTCACCAAGACGAACCCATTTTTCGTTGTGGGGTCAAAAAAAATGTTTGAAGCAAACCAAATCCCTAGTGTACAGTGTACACTAGGGTGGTTCTTATTTATGAACTTTTAAAACTTAAATGGGCTACCCCGCCATTTTGTTCATTATTATGAAAAAAAAAATTTGGGTAGAATTTGGTTTTGATAACTCACCCCTTCACGTGCCGCAAGGGGGTTGAAAAATGACCAAATGCGGTAGTTTTATAGTTTTTTGAGTTTAAATAAAAAAATATTGCATTTAGTATAAAATTACATATTAACTTTATGATAGATCATTAAATTCTCTATAAAAAAGGAGTTCACAAATTTTTCCAAAAATGCATTATTATCCAAGAAAAAAAAACATAATTTTTTTCATTTACGATGAACGATTGGAAATCGAGTAAAACGCTTTTAATGCATTTTATACAAAATTAAATTGTCTACAAAATTAAATTGTCTACAAAATAGATTATTAGGAAAAATTTCATACGATCAACCATTATGTATTTAAAAATCGTTTAAACAAATATATTGTGAAAAACGAAAATTATCGTTAGAAAAAAAAGTATAGAAATCGACCCGGGAACGAAATAAAATAATCATATTTTTTCCTATAAAAAATGTTTTCCAAATAAATGAAAAAAATTATGTTTTATTTTTTTTCTTGGATAATAATGCATTTTTGGAAAAATTTGTGAACACCTTTTTTATAGAGAATTTAATGATCTATCATAAAGTTAATTTGTAATTTTATACTAAATGCAATAATTTTTTATTTTAACTCAAAAAACTATAAAACTTCCCCATTTGGTCATTTTTCAACCCCCTTGCGGCACGTGAAGGGGGTGAGTTATCAAAACCAAATTCTACCTAAATTTTTTTTTCATAGTAATGAACAAAATGGCGGGGTAGCCCATTGAAAAACTTTTAAAAAAAAATTCTTCATCTATGACTAAGGACCACCCTAGTGTACACATAACTATGTGATGGTAATCTAGTTTTAACGTAAAATGATTGCTTTCAATAATTTTAATTTAATTTTGTTTAATTAAACAACAATTTGCAAAAAATGAAAAAATGATTTTATAAGATCGATGACAATCATCTACATACTGCCCGCAACATGTACTTGGAAATTAAACATTGTAGAGGTACGCTTGGCGGAGTTGCGGGAAAAAATGCACGCGCAATACGGGCAGAACTTAGGGCATTAGAATTCGATAAATGGGCACCAATGCCACAGAGAGGAATAGGGGTGAAATGGTACAAATCGTTTACCCCTGCGAATAGTTGGGTATCTAACAAATTGGGCATAACAAGTAGCGACTGGTGCAACGGTATTAAGATGTCAATGAACTCGATGGCGAATCGCGCAACGGGAGAACGGAGTCGGGGAAAATAAAATAAACAATAATTGTATTAGTTTATAAACAGTTCCGCATTTTATTATTTTATATTTTTTGCCAACTTTGGAGCCCTCTTGCCCCACTGTGCGTCGGGCAGCTGGCTTTAATAAAGGTCGTTTCTCTCGTATAATTAAACAGACAGTACAATAGGAGTGAGTTAGGACCGAGACATATAGCGGGGAGGGAGAGGTCACAGAAACTATCGGACTATCGTTATTCGTTTATAATAGTAATTACAGAAATAATACCATTTGGTGTTATTTTTGGTTGTTGTCGTCTCTGAGAATTCTAAAAACATCTACTAATCCCTCTTTTACCTTGTAAAAATCATGCACACATGATACAAACTTGCTTCAGTCGCTTCAAAAACACCTAAGTAATAATGAACCTCTCTCTCAATATATATACAAGGGAAACGCTGTTCGTAGCTAATCGCATCACTTGAGAACGGCTGGATCGATTTGCCTCATTTTTTTTTAATGTTCGTAATAGTCCGAATAAGGTTTTAGCGAAAAGAAAAATTGTTTAGCCCCACACTTACTTTAGTCTTGTTTTCAGGCCTTAGGTCTTCTGGAAATAAAGAAAAAATTTCTACCTTTTCTAGGGGATATTTTTTAAGTATATATCTATAGCCAAAAATAATGTTTTTAGTTTCGATGCGTAGCTAAGATGACATTGTTTTAACAATGAGTATTTTTATTTTATTTATTTGAGTATCTGGATACACAATACTTTTAACCGCTGAGCTGATGTCTTCATGTAGCTAGTATATTATAGATGAGAAATTTTACTCAAGAGGGGGTCAACTATTTTAAAATGTTATCCCATCCCCGTTATAATCGAGAAAAACACCTGAAAAAATGTACATATTTTTAAACTGAATTATAGCTAAATGTCAAATCAGTTTCAAATTTGTATAGAATAGTCTTTAAGCATAACAAAAAAATATCATACAACTTTTCCCCTAGAAGAGGTTAAAGCTTTTTCTTTATTTCTATTTTTAGGGAAGTTTTAGGACTTGAGGGAGCAATTACATATAAGATATTCTTAAAAACTGTAGTCACAGAGGAAAAATAAAAATGGGAGAAAATTACATAATGGCCATAGCAAATTTTTAGGTTTCTATATGTGCGAATGAATCATAAGTCAACAGGTATTTGAAAATGTGTTCATTATATTGTTAATTTGCCTATTGGTTACAATGACAATGTAGAGTGAGATAGTATAAAATATAACAAGAAGTATATGTCAAACATTTTAAATAATGTATATTTTTTATAATATAATGGCTATAAAAATGAGACAATTTATATAAATAAATAAAAACATACATCAACAAAAATTTGTACTTTCATTTACTTCATAATGTTCTGAAAGTTCCATTTTAACTAAATCTGTAATTATGTCATCAATACTTATTTCCAATTTTAGTAACACTTTATTTAATAGAACATCTGCTATTGACTCTGTAACACTTTTTAACAAAATATTCTTATTATACATCGTATTAAAATTATAAATAAACCGAACATAACATAATAAGGTATAAATGGCTGTTTGTGTGTGTCACGCAATCACACTAAAACGGCTGAACTGATTTTGATACCATTTTATGAGCAAGCGTTTCTTTCTATATACCGTTGTATTGATGTACAACAGGTTTCATTGCAAGTATATTAATATCTGTTTACCTGAATATAGTTTCCACTTGATCATCAGATAACTGAATCTTGGAAAATTGTCTTCTATAAGAAATTATTTCATCTACATTTTTTTGGTTTATAATCAATTTGAGTTGTCCATCTTCTGATATATTTACATCTTAAAATAATATTAAATTTGATTATTTAATTAAGGCCAGTGTTTATTATCATGGAGCTTAACAGGCTATGAAAACATGTCATCATGAGATGGTTTCTTGATGAATTCGCTATTTGGGGCGGGTCGTCAGTCCGTTGCTGGAGAGCGGATGGCGGCTCATTTTTACCGGACGATTGCTCGACCAGCAAACGGAGCGCCCGTAACCGAGTGTCGAACCAACAACAGTGAGCACTTACACTTTGCCGCCATACCCTCTCAGCTACCCTTCCACCGGAGGACAGTGAATAGATTATTTTAAAGGACTAAGAGTCCAACGGCTAGGGTACTTTAAGAGAAAAGGAGAGAACCTCGAGATTGGTATAGGAATGGAAACCGCGTGGGAGAAGATCATATGAAAGGACCAGGAAAGTTGGATAGTTGGAGTGGAGGAAGATTTAGGAGCACTAGGAACAGAAAATTGAAGACACATCTTACAAAACACGGGGTCAAAACTCTTAGATTAATTACACCAAAAAATGTATTGATTATTTACAAAAAGAATAATAATAAAACTAAAAACCTTTATAATCCTATAATTTTAGAACACTAGATTGGCAACTACTCAACCAATTTGATGCAATTTTTAATTGATAAATTATATTTTCCACCATCTTTATAGAATGAAATTAAATATATTTGATTATGATAAGTTTTAGATTGATAAATTATAAATATGTTTTTTTACTTACTTTTGGTTTTGAAATTCCTCCAGACATTTTCTTTCATAACATATAGTCCAATATTATGTCTAATATGTTGTTTCGTTAACAAACATAACCTGAAAATTACAGCTTAAACTAAAACACCAAATAATATAAAAGTGACACAATTAAATTTACTTTGGTGTATTTGACTCTCCTGACAGGATACTTTTAGGGCTCGTGCAAGGATGAGTATGTCTATGTAGTCCTATTTCTCCCTCAAATTGTTCATTTGTCTCCTAAATTAATAATTACATATTATTATTTAGGTTATAAAAAACAAAAATTATGATCTTTAATATTTCATCAGCTTTAAAACATATAAATAACATTAATCATTGTGCTAAAAAATGTAATCACAATCAATCATAGTTACTAAACAAAATTGTTGCACGGCCGTTTTTACATCATCAAAATTATGACAATTGTCTATTGAATCATCAGAAGAGAGAAACTTATTTTCATTTTTAGTTAATAATGTTTTGTCTTCAAAATTATTTGCACAATTTGGGCTTTGAGTTTTATCAGTGATTTTCTAGAAACGGGAATGAAATTATATAGACAAAAAAACTAATATATATTTTTAGTTTTTTATAAAGTAAAATTAATGTTAGTTATTCTTATTTTACATTATTTTTTGACCACTTTTGAGCATAACATGATCCAAGCTTTGGTCTTATTTGGTTATACATGCTTAAATGGTTGAAATTGCTATTGGTAATTTGGCTTTTCTTTCTAGTCAATGCTTTACTTGTGAGCTCATTAAGTTTGTTGCTTTGACCAATTTGTTCGCAGTGAATATTATTTTGGTTGTCATTAGACACATCTTTATATCCACAGTCATCCAACATGTTAATTAAAGTCTTGCATGCTGCAACTAAATCCTAAAACAAAATATTTATTACTAAAAAAGAAATGTTAGTAGTTAACTTTTACGATTTTAATAAAATCATGGCTTGTCTCTGGCTAAAAGGGCTTTTTCAGAGGTTCATTTATTTTTTATTTTTTGTGTTTGACCCGTATTGTAGACATTATAACAGTGAATTTTTTTTTGGGAGTCACTGATTTAAATACTTATTTTTACCAACCAGTTTTAAAAAATATGGGCGTTGAGTATCCGAAGAAAAATAAGATTTAGTGGCGTACTTTGGTCTTTTTTTTTGGTTGGGGGAGTATCTGACTATTTAATTTTTGGATAATCATTATTACATTTTCAATGTTTTATCTCCCACAGTTATCGAAATCATAAAAATGAGAGATATTATTTATAACCAAGACATCTCCTTCCCTCTAATTACACTACTGAATTAAATTATAAACTATAAAAATAATAACTTAAGTTAAAACTCAGTTACAAACTTTAACATACATAACTTTCTTTCTTTTTCTTGTTATATAATTGACCATATAAGTATTTTCCTGTGGTCGAAGATAAACAAGATATTATTTGTATTAATTCCTTCATTTTATCTTGAATGGAGTTGTAGATTCGAGCCTCCAAGGTTTGCGAGCACACCTAATATAAACAACAGCATATATGTATGTATAATTTTTAGGACTGAGTATTGGCATGACCGGATATCGATATCGGCCACATTGGTTAATTGTTTTTTTTCCCAAAACTGTTATATTACCAATCATTTTAAATAAAAATAAAAAATTCTAACTTAATTAAAAAAGGTGGAACATTACATTTGTCACAAATGTACTATATGATTTGATGTGTCACATGATTCATATCGGCTGTAATATTGGATTTATACAGCCGACATATAGGTTTTTATTAGTATCGGCTTATGTTTTATAACAGAACAATCAGTATTAGAAATTAATTATCAGATATTGTGAAAAATCTATATCGGATCATTCCTAATAATTTTATATTAAATATAATAACAAATTCACAACCAAAAGTAAATTTTTTTTCTATGTAGAACAATTAATGTGGTCTTAGTTTTCCGGATAAAAAAATGCAGAATTTATTTTTCTGCCAAATTTAGATTGTTATAGTTTTTATTTTTAATGACAAATTTTAGAAAATATTAGTTTATGCATAATATACAAATACGTTATCTTCATCAAAACAAATCGTACACGTTTTGCTAATAAATTATTATAATTTTTCATTATTTACCTTAATAGCATCAATTGCTAATTTATGGCCGCAAATTAATTTCATTTGAAATAATCTTCTAAACATTATATTTCTTTTGTCTTTTTTTTCATGTAAATCCTTATTTTTAAAATCTTGTTTTAATTCTGTAAGCTTAAAATATTCAAATAGAAAGTTATTTAAGAATGAAATAATAATGGTTTTTAAATGGTAGTACTAAATGTTTTTCAGTTTAACCACTAATATAGCTACAATAATAATAAAATGTAAATATATTTTAAGAATTTGATATTTTATAATAAATTTATGAAATGCAAATAATTATTGCATAACAACTATAAGAGAGACTCAAAAATTGATAACAAAAAACAACAATTAAGAATTATTGAAGAATTTGGGGCATATTTTTTTATTCACCTAATAAGTTTAACTGCTTTAGCATTATAATTATTATTAGTAGTACTAGGGAGTACTGAACCCAACAGAGTGATTTCTAAAGAGGCCATTTACAGTAAGAAAATTTAAGATAACATAAACAGAATATAAATGCATATATAGAATATCTAATAAATACTGTGAGATACCCTGTACATATAATAGAAGGTATGTAATGATATACCAATTTATTAAGATCATTAATATAATTTTTATTTGCTCGTTGATCAAGTTCTTTTGTTTTAATTCGTATTTTCTTAGGATTCTTTAAAACTGGTGGTTGTAATGCATTTTCCAAAATTGTAGAATATTCATTAAATGTCTTAAATAGACGACTGAAATAAATAAAATTAAAACATTATTCAATATATATTTACACACCTAAATTAGTTCTAAAATTAAAATCACCAAATAAATACTTTCTTAGTCCATGGATATTATTAATGTCTGAAGGATCATGCAATGAATACAACTTCGCAGAATTCAACGTACTAAATTTGCTTATTGAACACATATCTGATGGACGGGGATAAACAATTTCTTTATCCTCGTTATTATTTTCTATTGTAAATGTACTCTTTGCTTCTTCAGCCTTAATTGATTCTACATAGTTACTCCAATGCCAGTCATCAATTTGTTTTTGGCGATCACGTGTGATTTTTTTATATGTTCTATTGAAATCTTCTTTTGATACATACTGAAATTCAATTAGATTAGTTAGATTTAGTAAGAAATAGTAACAGCCAGTGTTGTAAAAAATTGTGTACTAGTATTTCCGATACTATACTCTGTCTCATGAGAGAACAGTACTGCGCAAAAATCAAAACGCATTTATTCTTGTATGCGCCTTAGTAGACAAGAGCGACACGTTTTGGTTTCTGCGCAGTATCAGTATCTTGTGAGACAAACTATACTAAAATATATAGTCACATCTTTTTATTATGAAAACCGAAAAACTTAATAACTTCTTTTTTCAATCTTTATGCGGATACATCTGAAAATTATCCACATAATAATTCAATTGGAGTCGACCCACCTTCACTCGACACAATTTCCCACATCATTTTTGCATAAACCAGTAGCCTATGCTTTTAACACTCATATTTGAATCTTCAGCTGCCCACCGTCGCACCATACATTTGTTAGCGATGAGAGTACGCACTGCTACAGAGTTATTAGTTATTTATTTTTATTATTATTATAATCAATAATGTATTGAACAACAAATATAATTTTCTTAAGAATTAAAAGCTTTAAGTTAGTAAAACTTTAGCTACATAAAACAACTGCTTATGCCTGCCAACTGGAGCCTCTTCATTGGTTGGGTTCTCACGCCCCTAATCTTCCAGAGGAAAAAATAGCTAGCAAGAATGAAACTAACCTGATACCCCTCTGAAAGCGTCAGCGACCTAACGAGACCTAACTTATTCTCGCGTCACTGACAAATGTATGGTGTGGCGGCAGGTGGCTACGACTGCAGCCCCCTATTATTATAGACGCTATAATATGCAAACTTCAACTTAGGAACTAAGCGTTTCTCCAAATTTTTTTGCACCATCAGCATTAATAATCAAACGGATTAGAAAAAAAAATTGAAAATCGGGCATGGGATAGTCAAGTCGATGTAAACCTTAATGATTTGGATTAAAAAAAGTATTAATATTATTTTAAATACAAAATTAATTGTAAAAAACGAACTTGAAATTTAAAGTCACGCTCATTGTTCATATTTGCCAGTAATTATAACCAAATCAAAACATAAATTACTTAATTTAAAAACAGTTAACAGTAAATGGTAAAAAAATTTGAAAACACATCGTAAATAAACAAAGATTAGTAAATACAATCAAAACTTATTTTGAAGTTCCAAACGTCGATTGTTAAATTAATAAATGATAACAAATTATAAATAATCATTCGTTTGTAACCAAGGCTGTAGATTGTAGATACCTGATACCAAGGTGGATTTACCTTGGTGATGCGGCTTGTTACACTCATTCGTGTTTATGATAACAGCCGGTTATCAGCACTGTATAGGTCGAGTTGGGGGTAGTGTTTCCAAAAATGATAACGCATGATAAGAAATAAATGTTACATAACCTATAAAATGTGTAATACTACAGATAGTACCAACATCGATTTTACCAAAAACCCGCCAAGAGAAATTTCGTATTTTAATATCAAAAGCATTGCCTTTAGTTAAGTTCATTTTAGTTAAGTCTTTATTGCAAATTGTAGTTAGATCTTTATCAATTCTCTAATTAATCGTGTATTCACTTTACACGTAAAATTATATAATGTAAAACTCATAATAAATTACATTATATTAGTGTGTATACATAACTTATAAGTATATGTTATAATTTAATATTATTTGGTATAAAATAATAATAATTTTATTGAAATTTCCCACAAATTGTTTATATTACTATTTAAATAAAACATTTTTTTTACTTTTTACCTTAATTAGTTGACGATTTCAAAATTTGGCTGTCAAGTATAAATTAGTTTTACCACATCTTACATATGTATTCTGTAGTTAAAGAATACAGGTAGGAGCTAATGAGCTTTGTCTTCAATCTTGTCGTTTACAAGATATATTATTAACAAAATTTGGTACCTAAAAGATATATTAAAGCAAGAAAAACGGAACAGATGACACTTGTAGTTTAAATAACTAGAATAAAACTCATATTTAATTTTCAAGTTTCTACACAAATCAATATATACATTATAAATTTATAGTCCAAAGTGAACCTATTGCCGGATAAAGACTTGTGATAAGAAAAAAAATTGTTGTACGGCCCTTTTGCATGGGGTAATAGGTAGATAATAAGAATATTTCATAATATAAAATTATTGTAAACTAGATTAAACAATTCTGTTATATTAATAAAAATGATCAAACTAGGGTCATAATCGTATAAACGTCATACTTAATAAATATATAATGTAATTTAATGCAATCTTGCTTTTATGTTGGTGAGATTATCAAATCAGACTGGATTGTCTTACTGAATTAAAAAAAAAGGAAAACTAACTAAATAGTATCCCGTACCATACAAATTATATGTATATATAATAATTAAATAATTAATAACAAATTATCAAAAATAGTATTCAATACCAAATAACGTATTTTAAATGTCTGTATTAAAATACCTTGCAGGACTGAATGTGATTTATAATCTATTAGTAGGTTTTTAAAATAATTATTATTCACTTAATATTTTACAGAAGTTAGTTTGTATTAAGCTACTCTGGGTATATATTTTTATTAAAGAAACCAAACTAAACAATATGAATTTGTTCAGTGAAAGTTATTCATATGGTTTAAAAATATGATTCAATTTTTGGTCAATATAAATTTGCAAATTAACAATTATCTTTTGATATGAAAATGTCCATTTGTTAGAAGATTGCATAGCCCATATTTTATTAATCTATGTACTTATTCATTTAATATGGCCATTTACTTAGCGATAACCAAGTCTCTACGATGAACTTAAAGTTTTAATACCACACAAAAACTGTCTACATTCCTTTTATTAAGAAATGTATACTTTTCTTATATTATAAAAAAATAGAAATAATACATATTATAAAATAAATAGATACAATTGCAAGTTTCAGCATCTCATCATATTTATTTATCTCTTATCTCGTTCTCATCGAGATCTGCTATTAAAGCTCTTTTTGCCCACAAAAAGTTAAATAAGTTATAATAAGACTGATTTAAGTATGTTAATATTTACTTAAGATTGGTCAAGTTGTGAAAATTTAAATGATATAGACGTAGCTTTGGATATATTTAATGGGAAAATTAATGAGGCTATTTCCAATTCCACTAATATGTATATAATAAAATTATCAAATCAGAAATTAAAAGGTTGGATATCAAGCGGTCAGGTTAACTCTATTTTAACTAAGTGAACATTTAAAAACAGATAATATAAACCCATTTTTATTTATCATTAATTAAAAAATGGTATAATTGTGTTAGGAATATCTTATACCTCCATAGTTTTGGTTAGAAATACTAGATCACACTAGTAGAAGATAATTCTAACTTTATACTGTTAAACAGTTGTACTTAACAATGAAAAGTACAGAAGTTGTAGGTATTTAATTTATCATTATCTTCAGGTAAGTGCCCAAATAGTTTTAACAAATGTGTCTCCATTCCTATACACAAAACGGGAAATAAATAATTGTTCAGTAATTATTATCTATTATTTCAGTCGGTAATTATAATTACTAGGGCTCTAGTTATAATTACTAGACTGTAGCCATTATAAACCAATATCGTTATCACTGCCTCTATCAAAAATATTTGAAAAATCATTAAATCCCAAATAATGAAGTAATATAATATTTAGATATTAAAAAATTTACATGGTTTTACGAGTTTCTTATAGTTGAATTTGAATAAAACTGAGCATATGGTTTTCAATATTCAAAAATATTTTAATCTGGATAACTTAAAGTTTAGAGGTCAAAACTGTGTAGAGATACAAAATTGTGTTTCATGAATTATGATTCATATAAGATGTAACTGCGTTACTTTTAAAAAGAAAATAGTTATATACCTTGATTTATTGATAACTGACTAAAATGAAAATATCAAAAATATTGAATATGTTATAAAACTATTCAATTATTATCATGACATTATTTATATATATATTTATAGTTATTAGACAATAGCAGGTATTGTTAAGGATAAAACTTACTAAGGCTAATTTATTATTTATTTGTAGAATCTATAATTATTTACTGTATTATACTCTGCATATAAATTAAGATAACGGTGTCTGGACTTTATAATAAAATTTATATCGAACACATCATTGTATACTCAAACAAAGAGAGTATTCAATATGTTAAACATCCTTCATTTGAACTAGTGATGGGAAAATCCGGATTTTGCGAAGTTCAAAAAACCGGAGTTTTAAACTTCGAAATTCGAAATCCGGAGTTGTAGTATTTGAACATCGAAATCCGGATTTCGAAGTTTTCTTTATAAATCCGGATTTCGAAGTTTTCATTATAAATCGGGATTTCGGAGTTTTCATTATAAATTCGTAGATTGGATTTCAATTTTTTTACGATAATAAATAAATTATATTTGTTAATTATTTGGTATTATGTACAACGCGTTTATGTAGTGTACAAAAAAATATTTAATTATTGAATTAGTAAATTAGGTATCTGTTTTTATAGTTATAAGAACATTATGTATAAACACGATTTACAAGTCTCAATGACACTTTTATAATAGATTAGAGCAATAAGTTGTAATAATATGAAAAATACACAACACAATATATATATATATATATATAATTAGGAAAAATAATAAGTCAATCTGGAATTGTATATGTCTTAAATCTTAATAAATAATAATAATACTAATAATACTTTTTGATATAAATAGTTAAGTAGTAGAACCTATTACATTATATAAAATTGTAGTTAATTTTCAGCTGTTTTTAAAGTAATTGACATTTAAAATAAAATGTGCTGCAGTTGATTGGTAAATTGTTCTTGTAATAAAATTATTTTTTAATTTTTAGTTCACTTTAAACTATTTTTAGAAAAGCATGTTTTTAAAAACAAAGTTTTATTTATTTATTTATTTTATTTTTTACTTTTTAGTCCTATTAAAGGTACTTAATAATTGGTGAATAGATTACTAAATTCATTTTAGAAGATTTGAAAAAAAAAATTAAATTTTAGTGAAATGGCCGCCATATTTGACCCCCCGGCATTTGCGACCTGGATGTCTAGGTCCCAATATTTTGACGGAACATTGTATTGTCATCCAAAATGAGTGTCTAGGTTAAATTTCAGCCTATATGATATCAGGAAGTGGGTTAAATTAATTTTAGAAGATTTGAAAAAAACATGCAATTTTAGTGAAATGACCCCCACATATAACCCTGTGTAGGGCGACCTGGATGCCCGAGTCCCAATATGATAACATTATATTATAGTGTCATCCGAGATGAGTGTCTGTGCCACGTTTCAGCCTTCTACGACATCAGGAAGTGGGTTAAATTAATTTTGCAAGATTTGAAAAATATCCGTACAAACGTACAGACGTACGGACGTACGTACGTGTTAGCGAGTTAAAGAAAAGCATGTAAAAACTACTCAAATATGGCTTACAATTTTTAAATAGGTAATTGTTTTCAATATATCACAAATAGTGAACTGTAATACAGCATACTTACTTTGTATTTAAGCTAGATTACATATATGAAACTTAAAGTTCATTAGAAACATATAACTTAGGGTAATTTAGTTGAAGGGGTCCGATAATAGCATTTCATAGAGGATTAAAAGTCAACTAAATTGAATAATTTGGTCATATTGAACTGCTGAATTAGTAATTACAAAATGGCATTATAAATTTTAAAATCGGTAATTTGGCTTTTTATTTAAACCCAGGTTACGGTTTCTTAAGTTCAAATTTTGAAATCCGGATTTGTAATTAAACCCGGATTCTTCGTTAAATCCGGATTCTTCGTGAAATCCAGAGTCTTCGTAAAATCCGGATTCTTCGTATAATCCGGATTTTTTTCATTGAACTTTGAAAACCGAAAACCGGCTTTTACGGATTTTAAGAAAATCCGGATTTATTTTCCATCACTAGAGTTGATAGTACAAACATTTTTAAATAGGAAGAATAAACTAGGTTTACCCAAGGTATGTCCAACACAAAAACACACTAAAACCTACATAAATTCAACATTTTTGCACTAAATCCGCTCAAACCTAGACCACTCTCAAGAGAATTTTGTCAGCAATCAGAATATCCGGTCAAATCGCCCATTTGTATGATTTTAACTTTCAAAATTTACAAACAACCAAAAC